CAGTTAGTTAATATATGCATCAACCCAGATCCAGAGAAGCGACCAGACATCGCCTATGTTTATGATGTGGCAAAGAGGATGCATGCGTGTACTGCAAGCAGCTAAACTGTACAAGATCCTGAAGACAGCAACCAAAATAACTTAAAAGTGTTTTTGTGCAAATCATACCTCCCCGCTTTTGTCTGGGTGTTAAGATTACTATTTCAGAGCTAATGCGCTTTGAATCCTTAACCAGTTTTCATATGAGCTTCATTTTTCTACCAGGTTCAATCACCTTCCCAAGCCACGATTTTTGGGATGCTCAGATTGCAATATGAATGCAAGCACAACAAGAGTTTTTAATGGCGTAAGGGTTGAGAATTGTTTATAGAGTTTCTGCTGATTGTGTTTATAGATACTCAGTGGCAGATGGTGAAGAGCACACAGGCACACGTCTGGAGGGGTGCGGAACCTGAGGGAGGACCTGAGCATTTGACCTGTTTGCTTTTAAGTCACTTAATGGACATTGTAGTGGACATAATTGTGAACTTCTCTGATTTTTTTTTAAGGTTGAAGTACATGTTTTAGTTATTAGCATTATAGTTTTCAAATATAATTCTTATAATAAAATGCAGACATAAGCTCTTTGAGAAAGATTTAAAATTTTTAGTTTATACATTCAAAATGCAACTATTAAATGTGAAAATATAGAGGGCAAAATGTGAGCTGGACACTGAAAGTCTTGTGTGTTGATGCCTTTGAAAGCCTTTTTGTGTTTAAATGGTATAAATGAACCCATTTTAAAAAGTGGTTAAGGACTTGTTTGCCTGGCGTGATAGTCATTTTTAACATGCACATTGCTCAAGGCTTTGTGTTTTTATTGTACATTTGAAGAATATTCTTAGAATAATCTTGCAGTAACTATAGTTCAATTTCTTTACAAATCTAAACACTTAAGTCATAACTATACACTGTAATGTAAGCGTAAATTTCTATTCATATATTGAAGTTTTGATCAGTTCCCCTTCAGAACTTTTTTTTATTCAAGTTACTTTCTTATTTATATTGTGTGTGCATTTTATCCATTAAATGTTTCAGATTTTTCTGAGAATGAATTCCCTTTTTAAAAGATATTTGGTATGCCGGCACTTTTCTTAGATTGAAACCTTTTTTTTTTTTTAAAAAAAAAAAAAAAAAACCTTTGGGCCATTCTATGTGCATCTGTTTTATCTTGTTAGAAAGAAGGTGTGCGGGCCTGTGAATGTCGATATCGTTTGAGAGGGTTATAATTTTAGAGTATGTTTTAGAGTCTGTTTAACGACGTGAAGACTGGCCCTTACTGAAGACAGGACTGTTAAAGAGAGCAAAGTACTGTAGTTATGCATGAAGATGACGGACATGGAGACACTCATTTTAGTTAAAAATTTAAAAAGGAGAGCTATTTAGGAAACCCTGAGGCGGAAGTTTCTTTTTCCTTCATCTTAATACCAACCAGTTTCTTCAAAGAATTGTGGAGCTGAAGAACAGAGTGGTAGTGGCTGTTGCAGAACACTGTGTGCCATGATAGAACGTTGGGAAGGCTTAACTTGCCGGGCGGGCGGGCAGCCCTGTGTTTGGAAAGCTTGTACTCTGACCGACAGAGCTCCTGGGTTTGTTTTCTCAGAGTATTCTTTTAATAGTTATTTTTAAGTAATTTGTAAATTTTCAAAATAATGTCTCATCTTTTAATTTGCTATGTATGCTGTCTTAGACAAAAGAAATCTGGTTTGTTTTTTGTCTTGAAGGCTGAACTGGGTCCATCCCAGATCTTAGTGGCTCATAGCATTTACACAGAGGTGTGAAGAAAGCTGCTTCTGGTGACCATTTGTGTTGTGTTCTATCCATGGTAATGTCATAGGACTGACTGAGATGTGATATCCCCTGCCTGTAAGAGTTGTTTTCTTTCCATCTTTAGAAACACAAGGTTCTGCCTGACAGTGGTAGTATACACCTTTAGTCTCAGCACTCAGAGGGCAGAGGCAGGTGGATCTCTATGAGTTCCAGGACAGCTTGTTCTACAGAGTGAATTCCAGGTCAGCCAGGGCTACACAAAGAAACTCTGTCTCAAAAAACCAAAACTAAATTGATGAGAATACAAGGCTTATCCCCTTATAGTGACATTACAAGGGGATCTGGAATTTGTCTCCTAAAAAAAAAAAAAAAATGAGCTGGATGGTCAGGGATAGTTGCTGTCATTTTGTATAGAAGGAAACTCTTTCAACTACTTTAAGTCCAAGTGTTCATATCCACCACCACCACCCCCAAAAGAATCCATTGTGTAAAAGCAAAAATCAGTGTGATATTTGCAAATGATTATAGAATTGATTAGAAGTTCTAATCTTAACAATCACCTAGAAAATATTCTCTTTTTATTTCTGTTTATGAGTAAATGTTATATGAAGTTAAATATTAGAATTGATTTGAGTAACAAGTCAAATTAAAGGTACGGCTGATTCAAAACCTCATTTAAACATTGGTACCAGTTACCCAGGGGAGAACGTGCAGTAACGTTGGTTGGTATGCTGAGGTGTAGGGTGGTGAATGAAGGGTACTCTACCTGCAGTGCTCAAGAATGTCCAGTGATTGTAAAGCTAGCGAGATGCCACCGCCAAGTCCAGAGCGCTCTGTCGTTTCTAAGTGTGTCCATTATAAAAGGCCTGTCTTGTATCTATATACTCCAGGTGTTGCTCGTAACTTTCCCTCTATTTATTAGAACCAAGAAGCTGTTATTCACACAAATGTTTATTCTTTTAAATTGAATGTACTGTTCATAACCCACAAATGCGTACTCTTTGCCTCCAATTCCTGTAGTACTGTAATATGAATTTCTTTTGTGAAATACTCTTTATTTTGTAATGCTTTAAATATATATGCAAAAGGATTGTTATTAGCTTCAAAAACTGTACAGTATCTTAATATAAATATATAAAAATAAAAGATGAGTACTGTAAGTTTGAGTATCTGTCAGGCTCCCTCCCTTTCATCTCTCCAGACTGACCATTGCTGTGCTTGGCACTGAACCTACAGAAACAGTTCCTACACGGCTCCAGGACTTTGCTATCTTGAAGAAACCTAAACAGTGAGACAGGCAAACATGACAACCTCTCTCGAGGCTTTGGAGTTTTATGGTTTGGTTTTGAATGCGCATCATATCATAAAATGCAGCTCCCTAGGTCTCTTCAGTGTCTCCATTTCTGTCATTGAATAAAAGGCATCTAAACCTTAAGAAAGGGATATTCATTTTCCTGCTTTGAACCTTTAGAATTTAAAATTTAAGTCAACACTTTCCATTCCCCATCACTGTGGTGGGCTGCTACCAGAATCACAAGAGAATGGATATATTTACTCTTCTCTTAAGTGAGGATCCTGCCCTGCCTGCCAACTGGAGGACAGAAGATCTTAGGAGGGTAAATTTGATTTCACAAGTTAGTTGTTAATTGGCTAACTTTCCAGCCCATGGCTTGTATTAAAGAAGCGCTGGTTTCAGTATGTGAGTATGAGCATTTGTTCGTAATTGCCAATAGAAGTCATTTTTACCACATTGTAATATTTAGTGCTAGTTGGAAATTGTAAAAAGTCTATTTGTTGGGAAAGTCAGTACCAGGCATATATGTTTAAAAGTCTTAACAGGTACAGCTGAGGTAGCACACATTAGTGAGGTCGATTTAAAAAAAAAATCAAAGTAGGAAATCATTTCAGAAGTCCCTCAAACTATCAAAAGAACTTCATGGTGTTCTTTAAACAGATAAACATGACTGCATTCTGAGGTAAGAATGCCTGTAATATACATTTAGAGTTTGGATTTTGTAGCTTGGAACTCAAATTAGTTTCCAGGGTTGTGACGTGTAGAAAGTCATTCTTGCCACATGCACACTGTTGATAAATTCCTCATTTTTCTAGGCTTTATTTTCTGTGTAAAATTGGGATATAAATCCCTAACTGGATAGACTCACCCTGTGCAGGACCCTGTGTTGTATAGCATATCACCCGATTGCTTGATAATTGTGGCCATATGTAGTACATGGCTGAGGAAGGAATTCATGTGTGTCTTCTTGGGTTTTAGCTCCATCTCTTCTCTCTATGCCCATACCTACAGCCTCATTTTTCAAATGCCCCGATCTGTTCTTTCCAGTAGAAGTTCTAGTCATCTATTTTTTTCTACAAAAAAATTCCAAGTACTCTTTCTCAGTGGACTTTCAGTGTTCTTTTTCAGGGAGTAGCCAGATGACAATGTTTTCATTTGTCTACCTCAACTGGCCAAACAATTCCATGTGAGACTCATTCTCCCTTGTTGATCCTAAATGCCAGTAGAACAAGTCTTTGTTCCTTTCTTTGTGGGGTTCAACACTTAGCATCCTTCTTCATACTGGTGACTGTGATGCTGCAAGTACATCCGAGGCCACCAGGTAAGATCAGACTAGGTAAGGGCTAGGAAGGAGCAATGAGAAGGACAGATGAAGAGCTAAACCAGAAGGAAGCTTTTGAATCCATCACAGTGCGTTGTGAAGAGACTAGAGACAACTAAGAGTAGGCCCTGAACTTAATGTGCGAAACACTGAAACATCTTTAAAGCAGCCATTTGCATGGGTAAGCAGGATTAGGATGTAAGGTGAATAAATAATGAGAGAAGAGAAACAGATGTGAGCAAACACACCGACAATGGCCACGAAAGGAATCAGTTAATAGCTAGATAACTTGAGAAGAAGCAAGAAGAAGCAAGATCAAGAGAGGGTATAGAGGAGATGGTAAAGAGTGAGACTCATTAAAAGGTTCCACCCACTCCCCCGAGAGCTTAAGTATTCCTCTGTAACTAGGGCCACTTCCAGTTATGACGAGCATTGTGTTGGTGATCAAGTGAGAAAGGAAGTGACATTTAAGTCAGTACCTAAACATGAAATGAAGTCAGCCAGAGAACAAATAGCTGGGTGGGGGAAGAATGGGAATATGTTGTGGTTACAGTAGTCTATCTGAGACAGACGTAAGTCTGAGTAAGGTGAGGCAGGCAAGAGGCATTTAGAGAATCTTTTCTACTTAAAATAACCAATTAGTAATAAGAGAGGATGTTTTAGAGTTTCTATTGCTGTGAAGAGATTAGGCTGCCCTTCACCTCCTCTCATAGGGTTTCCATTGATGTGAAGAGACATCATGACCAAGGCAATTCTTACAAAGGAAAACAGTTAACTGGGGCTGGCTTACAATTTCAGAGGTTTAGTCTGTTATCATGACAGGTAGCATGGTAGCACGAGACTGAAATGGTGGTGGTGACAGAGCTGAGAGTTCAACATCTTGATCCATAGGTGGCAAGGAGAGTTTATGTCCCCCGCACTGGACTTAGCCTGACCATATAAGAGATCTCAAAGCCTGCCCTTGCAGTGACACATTTCCTCCAACAAAGCCCCACCTACTCTAGCAAGGCCACACCTAATAGTGCCACTCCCTGTGGGCCAAGCATTCAAACCATCACATCTCCACTGGTGCCCATTTCACATATGAATGGACTATTAAGAGTGCCCCCAATCTTGTATAGAAACTGGATTTCTTTTTCTTGGACATGCTCCTGAGATCCACAGGACAAATTAGAAAGCTGGATCACAATGTCTAGCTAAAATCAAAACCACCATTGAAAACTGACATGTCAAAACATGCCTTGAAGACAAAGTCATTTTGTGGAAAAGCTACCACATAAAGATGTCAGAGAAACCTGACTTAGGAGAAGTACAAACCTCAGGGTAGGAATACAAGAAATACAAAAGAAAATAAAAATCAAGATAACATAGACCACCAAAGGGAATTTTCATAATGGAGTAAATAGAAACCTGAAAGAAGTGCCTAGTGAAGAACTTAATACAGTTACCAAAAAGCTTAATGAAATCAAGAGAACAGAGAAAAATGAAACTTAAGAGACCATATAGTACACACAGGAAAAATGAAGTTTAAAAATAACCAGACAGAAATATTCAAAAGGGTAAGATCCAGGTAGTCAGATTAAAGATTCAGTTGAAAGGCTTAACAAAAGACTAGATGAAGTAGAAGAAAGAACATATGAACTGGAAAACAGGTCTTCTGGGCCAAAGAGATGGCTCAATGGGTAAAGGGTACTTGATGCCAAGCTTAATAACCTGAGCTTATTCCCCAGAACCCACAAGATAGAGATCTCACTCCCAAAACTTGTTCTCTCACACACTGTGGCATATATGGATACACATACAAATACACAGCCTTGAACACATATCCATACACAAAAATGTAGGAAAAAAAGCCTGGATCTTTTGAAATAAAAGGAAGGAAGAGAGGAAAGAACAGAGGAAGAAAGGGAGAAGAAATTGAAAAGTGGAAGTGTACATTCAAGAACTTTGGGACACGTGTAATCAGAATATGGAGTATCCTGCATGGTGCATGGCCTTTTGTTTGAACACCATCCCCAGCTACTAGTGCTGCTTGCTAGGGTTGTAGAACCTCTAGGAGGCAGGGTGTTGCAAGAGGAAGTGGGTCACTGGGCTGAGCCCTGTGGTTTTATAGCCTAGCCTGATTTCCTGTTTTCTTTGTGCTTCCTGACTGCAGATGGGGTATGATCAGTCATCTTCTGTTCTGCCACTATAACCTCCCCACTAGGATGGACCTCAAAACTGTGAGCCAAAATAAACTCCGTGCTTTGCATCATAGCAATGAGACACTAGAGCACAGAAAAGCTATTTAATGATGTAATATGGAACATTTGGGAAAGATCTAGGTAGCCAGACTGGGGACTCTTATAAACAGACATGAGCGGAAAAAAAAATTACTGTGAGAAGGTTAAAACAAAGTAAAAGCTGTAAAATTGGTACAAAAGAGCATCAGGTCACATTTAAGAACTTCTTTTCAGACTTGCAGAAAGGTTTCTCAGCAGAACTCTATAGACCTGGAGAGAATGGAATGCTATTTTCCAACTCCTGAAAGAATTTTCAGCCAAGCAACCAAGATTGTTATACTCAGCAAAGCTAACCTACAAAAAAATGACAGAGAAATAGATACATGGTAAGATCAGCAAAAACGGAGAGTTCATGACCCCGGGCTTAGATTTATGAAACAGTTTTAAGGGACATTCAGATGCGAAAGAAAATACTATCCCATTTTGAAATAATTTCCCACTAGCAGAATAGACACAAAAACAGAAAACCGAAAATAATCAAACATTACAATATCAAATTACAAAGATGAAAAAGAAAGCAAAGATTAAGATTATTCAAATTAACCAGAAAATAAACCACTGAGGTGTCTTTACCTGTCAATAATAACTTGGAGGGCTCAGAATGTAGCTTTGTAGGTGTAGATTCTTTTCAAAACCTAATTTCATAAGGGTTCTCAAATGCTTCAGTCCCCCTTCTAGCCCACTGTTCAAAGGTAGGAGAGAAAAGATGGTAAATAAGACAAGGGGATGTAGTCCCCTTTAGAAGTAGTTCTTTGGGGGCAATTCCAGCAGTCCAGTTCAGTAGTGTCAAGATACCAAGCACCAATCAGGAGCAGCAACCACAGCATGATCTGGCAGAAACAGCCATGCCTCCACCGAATCAAGGCAGCAGGAGTGACCAAGGGAAGTTCTCTGCCATGCCTTTCTCAACAAAGTGAAGATGCAATAGGAACGAAGTGTTAGAAGGCTAGCTATGCAAGCGCCCTGTCAATATCCATTGAGTCCTCCTTGCATCAGCAAAACATCATTGTGAGTCTGCATCACATGACACAACCAGAAATTTCCACCTCACAGCTTGGTTTATAAAGTACTTGTCTAGTACTCAGGTCTTTGGATCCAATCTTCAACACCACTAAAACTGTTGTTGATGTTGATGGTGAAGATGGTGGTGGTGGTGATGACAACTATGACGATGACAACAATGATGATGACAATGATAATGATGGTGATGAAGAGGGAGGAAGAGAATACATTCTATGTAACCTACTAAATTCTCCAATTTAAAAGTAT